AAGCATCCCATTTGTGGTATATTCCTGTCAGAGCAGCACTAGGTGACCAGAACACATGGCATGGTTGCTAGGGACTTGACTCTTTTCTTTCCCTGCTACTGTCTTATTGGTTTTATCATATTGATGACATCACATTAACTGCTCAAGATGTTTCTCTGTTACAGGATTGTCTAGACAATCTAAGCACCTACCTACAGGGGAGAGGGTGGGCCATGAATTTCCAAAAGATTGAGGGGCCAGTAATGTTGGTAAAATTCCTAGCGGTTTTCTGGTTTGGTAAGACCCATGTGTTGACAGGCTTACCCCACTCCCAGGACACCAAAAGAAGTACAGGCCTTTGTGGGCCTTTTAAGGGTGTTGGAGGGCATTTATACCCCAATTGGCCCAATGTTTAAGACCACTCTAGTAACTGGTAAAAAGGAATATTTCTTGGGATTGGGGCGAAAAACAACATCAAGCTTCCAGGAAAGTGAAAGTGTTGGGTGCACAAGTGAAAATGTTAGGTACAAGAAGGACCACATCAAAATGACACCTCCCTCCCGAGTACATGCTAGGGCACCACTGGAGCCACCATCCCTCTCTCAGTAGAGAGGCCTGTTGCCAGATGTCTCATTCAAAAATGGCTCTAGCCAAGTTACATGAAAATGGTTCAGAGCAAAGCAATCAATAGGTCAAATTAAGGGCTGCATGGATGATCATCACCCACAAGTCCTAGCCCTTATCTGCACAGCTGGAAGGTAGCCTGTGAGTTAACTTGTGTATGGGCCAATGACATGACAGTGGGAGATAATGGGCAAGGTCTAGTGGAGGAAAGCTCTGTAACAGGACATCTGGTATTGCCTCCAAATCTCAGATGCTGACCTGTTTGTCATGTAGCAGCCCATTTCTCTCTCCCTGCAGAAGAAGAAGCAAGAAGCAAGTGCTATAGTACACATTAAAACAGTGCATCCAGAAGGGAAAGCTGGCCACCACAGTGTCTGTATTGGTTAGAAAATAGCCAGAGACAAACGTAACAGTGAAGTATAGTGATTTGGTGGCTGTTTTATAAAACTGCCCTGTTTGCTTCTAACAACATCCAAGGTGTATGCTCCAGAATCCTGAACCATATACATAAGGGAACACAGCCAGTGACAGAATAGCTGATTATCAGACAAAGCTCCTCTGACAGCCTGGGCCAAAGTACTGCCTTTAGTTTTGAAGTTGATAAATTTCGCTTCCACTGGGACTTTAGGAGCTCTGGTGGCATAGTGCCTAAGGCATTTGACTGCTAACCAGAATGCTGGCAGTTCAAACTCACCAGCCACTCCTCAGAAGGAAGACTGGGCAACCTACTTCCATAGTGATACCACCTCAAAAACCCAAGGAGGGGTTGCTATGAGTCGGATCTGACTTGATGGCAGGGAGGATTTTTGTTGTTGTTTGGGACTTTAGCTCCCATTTGCCAGACTTGGAACTCTGAGTGACCCTTCAACCATGAGATGAGTGACATCACAAGTTCCAGAAATGTAATTGCCCAGGTTGTTGCCAGAAAAAAACAGCATGGTCCTGTGAATGCCTCACTCAGGACATGGCATCAGGAAGTGGAATCAATCTATTTGCACTTGGAATGGGTTATCCCACCAAGACAGACTTGTGTTACTTCACTTGACTGGAGGTGGAGGAATGACCAGCCTAATGTGGTACAAAAAGAGTGTGGGAGCATCTTCCAACCTCATCTAACTTCATAAGGGGGAAGGATCAAGATTCACATCAGCAGCCTAAGGGTCAGTCATTCCTATGAAGCAGAGGTGAGACATGCCACCACCCTGCAATCTCTTTACTATTCTGACACCAACTGTCTCTCCCATGGCACTCTTTATTTCTCTGCTGGGTTCGGTAATATGTTGCAACAGCCACACTGAACTCACACACAATACTCATAATTATGGAGTTTTATTAGGGAAGTAACAAGCTACAATTCAGGTTCAGGAATGCTCAGGATGGAATTCTTCAATCCCAACAGCTGCAGGCATGACTCTTTGGCTCTTGGCCTCCTGGTCTGGTCTCTGCCCTACTTGGACAAGTGTTACCAAGCTCTTTCAGCTCTGCTGGTAGGTGTACTCCACTCTGCCAGCAAGCCTCCTGCCCAATGCACTCAGCTTTGTTGTTCTGTGGGCAGGCAAGCCCATCACTCTGTCTCGTGACATTCTTTTAGTTCTGCTGCCTTCTCTGCTATCTGAGTGCAGGGATCTTGGGTCCAAGGACATGTTCCAGTTCTGGCTTTTCTGTCTTGATGGTAATGAGGTCCCCCTTTCCTTCTCTGTTGTTGTTGTTAGGTGCCATCATTTCCGACTCATAGCGACCCCATGCACAGCAGAACGAAACATTGCCCAATCCCGCCCCAGCTCCACAATCCCTGCTATATACTTGAGCTCATCATCACAGTCACCATGTCAATCCATCTCATTGAAGGCCTCCCCCTCTTTCGTCAACCCTCCACCCTACCAACTATGACATCCTTCTCCAGGGAATGGTCCCTCCCTTCTGACAACATGAATGAAGTAGGTGAGATGAAGTCTGGTCATTTTTGCTTCCAAGGAGCATTTTGGGTGTACTTCCTCCAGGACAGATCTGTTAGTTCTTTTAGCAGTCCATGGTACTTTCAGCACTCTTCGCCAGCACAACTCAAAAGCATCAACTCTATTTCAGTCTTCCTTATTCATTGTCCAGCTCTCACGTGCATATGAGGCGATTGGAAATATCATGGCTTGTGTCAGGCGCACCTTAGTCCTCAAGGAGACATCCTTGCTCCTCAGCACTTGAAACAGTTCCTTCGTGGTTGACTTTCCCAATGCTACACATCATCTAATGTCCTGACTGCTGCTTCCGTTGGCATCGATTGTAGAACCAAGCAACGTGAATTCTTTGACAACCTCAATCTTCTCTCCATTTATGATGCTGCTCATTCGTCCAGTTGTGAGGATTTTTGTTTTCTTTATGTTGGGATGTAATCCATACTGCAGACTGTATTCTTCAACCTTCATCAGTAAGTGCCTCAAGTCATCCTCACTTTCAGCAAGCAAAGTTGTATCATCTGCATATCTCAGGTTGTTAATGATTCTTCCTCCAATCCTGATGCCACATTTTTCTTCATATAGTCCAGCTTCTCAGATTATTTGCTCAGCATATAGACTGAATAAATATGGGGAAAGGATACAACCCTGATGCACTCCCTTCCTGATTTTAAACCAAGTAGTGTCCCCTTGTTCCTTTCGAACAACAGTCTCCTGGTCACGGTACAGGTTCCTCATGAGTACAATCAAGTGCTCAGGAATTCCCATTCTTCTCAATGTTATCCATAATTTGTTATGATCCACACAATCAAATGCCTTTGCATAGTCAATAAAACACAAGTAGATATCTTTCTGGTATTCTTTGCCTTGAGCCAAGATCCATCTGACAGCTATGATATCCCTTGTTCCACGTCCTCTTCTGAATCCAGCTTACACCTCTGGAAGTTCTCTGTCAATATACTGCTGCAAATGTTTTTTAATTATCTTCTGTAAGATCTTATTTGCATGTGATATTAATGATATTGTTCTATAATTTCCACAACCTGTCCTTCTCTAGGACAGCTCATTTTAAGCCTAGAAGAATGGTAAAACTGACCAATCTCCATGTTAGGGTTCCAAATACTTATTTGGACAGTCCCATCCCCACACAGGTGCCACGAACCTTATTTACATTACTAACAAGCTATTCAATCCTCTTGCTGGACCACAAGTGCCTTATAGTTGCATAGCTCCACCCAGTCATTCAGTGGGAGTCACAAAGACCATGGCTAGAAGAGCTATACCAAGTAATTCACTGAACCACACATAGGAACCCACCATCCTGCTTCATGTTGGTCCTCAACAGTAACACTTTACTTGGACTCGGATGATGGCTACAGCATGAGGGACAGAGCTGGCTCTGCTTTTCTAGCATACAGAGAAACAGGTGACCTCCACAGGGCAGCATGTAAGGTACACTCAGAGAAAATGCTTAAGACAGCTGCCATTCTCACCAAGGAGAAGTCACCAGTGTGATCCTAACATAAGGGATTTATCTCTCATTACTACTGAACACCTGTCTTTCCAACTGCAGGTTATGTTCTACCCAGCTTTCTTCCTTTTGTGACTGCCAACATCTTCACAGAGTGGGCTCACAGCAGCTGCTGGATATTGCACAACTCCCCTTATCAAGTCTCTGGCTAGAACTACTCCTTCAGCTGTGGCACACAGCTCTAAGTGGGAGGTAACAGGAGAGAAAGGCAAAATGACAGCTGATTCTTTAAGAGGGGAAGAGTACTTTCATCTTAAAATATTTGGTTGTGAAAAACAGTAAAAGCTAAACTTGAGGGTGTGTAATAAGTTGCAAAAGGCTTGAGAATAAGTGAACTTTACTTGCCTTGGTTTATAATACTTGCGAAAATGAGTTTGACTCATAAGATGGAAAAAAGGACTGGTTAATCTTTCACTCCAAAATGTTATTAAATTAGGAGTTAGTTCAGTCTTTAAAAGGGAGTAAGTTGGACCAAATGTAGTGTCTTCCTCTGGCATGATAACCTTTAGACTGCTTCTGTTTCTTCCCTTGGCACTGTAGAAGTGATGGGGCAAACTGAAGCTCTAATTCTACTCAACAGGGAAATTGTGTGGCTATTAACTACCAAGATCCCCCATTTGAGGAAGGTGGAAGGTGGATGGCTCTGTGTTCACTGCAGTCACTCAAGGTGGGACATGTGCCATGGTGAATACCCCATGTTGTACCTATACACCAAATTACCACCATTGATTTTTCAGAACCATGAAGTAACAGAGGCCCTGGATACAGCTGGCTGGTCTCTGCGGCCACCTGGTCTTCCTCCTTCCCTTATAGCTGCTGATGGTTTTGCTGGGTGTTGGCCTTTTCCTGGGTATAGGATTGTTTTGCTGTGTTTCCCTTATTGAAGCTGTAGCCAGTGCCTCCAGCTGCAATGCTGGTTAGTTACAATGCCTCCCCTTGGCACCCTCAGGGATCTTGCAGGAGGTGCACCAGTGTATAGCCAGCTTCAAGGTGTGAACTGTAGGGGAACAGACTTTTGTGGGGCCAAATATGGCCATGCTTTTGCTTTCTGCTAGCTCACTTCTGCTTGCTAAAATCACTCTTACATAACACAGGGGTGGCCTTGGAGGCCTGGTGCTCTGGCCCTGAGACATCTTTGTTTACCAGAGCTATAAAAACCCCTGCATCCCTCTGGAGAGCACAGCGATTCAAGTCTGCTCTGTGTTCAGCACAACAACTTGTAAGCAAAACCTTAATAAACTCCTGTATCGCCATCCTAAGGCTGCCAGCCTTTGGTCTCTTGGCTCCCTCCATATTTGGAGACTAATTTTAAAGTATTGGTCTGTTCCCATGGCTCAAATATAGTAATGATTGTGAGGATGGCACAGGACATGTAGTGTTTCATTCTGTTGCACACAGGGGCGCTATGAGTCAGAATCAACGTGATGACACCTAAAACCGTCACCACCACCTGACCCAAGTAGCTCAGTCAGGGCATCACTGGACACGTGTCCTTCCCCCTGCTAAGCTGCCACATCCTCCTCTACAGTCACCAGACCAGCAAATAAAGGGGGGGGGGTTTTGAGGCAGGGCTTCCTCAGTTCCATTACCAGTCCAGTTCTGTGTGCCTTTCTCAGCTTCTGACAACTCATGGGGCCTCAACACCTGCTGTGGGGGGCAGGGAGGTCAGAAGGTACCTCACGGAGCTGCACCTAAGAACTGCAGCGTGAAAACTACCTGTGGTCCCCCGGCACAGCTCTCTTGATGTGCAACTCTACGTTGCACATGCTGGCAGTGATCTGAAGGCTTGCTTTTCAAAATTCTGAGTTATGATGTATGTAATATGACATTTGCTCTCACCTCAGAAGCATGTGGCACGGCTGCAATGTACCACTTGAGAGAGAAGGATTGGATCCCTGATGTTTTGCAGAAGTTATACAGCAGGGCTTGAGAACTTTAGAACAGAAAACGGTCTCATCCCAGGCCCTGGAGATGTAACACTGATGCCCAAGGACAGAAACCCACCAAGCAGGGTCTCCCTTGGGGAGTATGTGGGGTGCATATGACAGAATCCCCAAGTTCTGACTCAGGTAACCTGGATGCTGTGGACTGAACCATATCTCTCATAGATGTGTTCTGTAAATCTATACCTATGGTCAAGGAGCACTGGTGGTGCAATGGTTAAGCACTTAGCTGCAAACCTCAAGGTTGGTAGTCTGAACCCAACAATTGCTCCCCTGGAGAAACATGGGGGCAGTCTGCTTCCATAAAGATTACAGCCTTGGAAACCCTATGGGGCAGTTCTACTCTGTCCTACAGGGTTGCTATGAGTCGGAATCCAATCTACAGCAATCCAATTTATTTGGTCAAAAATTATGTATTATACTTAAAAGAGTACTTACAGAATTCTTTTCCCCTTCCTATTTGTTTCTGAAAAGTAATAAGCAGAAATACACAACATATCATTCCACTTTGAAGATGCTGGTACTAACAAAGGCAATTAACACACTTAGAATTTTATGAGATTATTTTCTTGGCATGAATATTCTAAAAGGATTGCAGTGAATTGCTCGAAGTGGCCTTTCTAGCCACTGTTCTCTATTCTGTGATATATTGTAAATCCTATTATCCATGCCTGTTTTGGGTGGTGTGGTAAAGGTCAGGTATCAACTTGGCTGGGCAGCTGGTAGTAGTCATTCCCTATAATGACTGGCAATTGGCTCTGTTATGGGATTTGCCTTGAGCTGCTGATGGTTAAAGCCATCCACTTGGATTATTGCTATTGGAGCAACACAGGTGGAGTGTATCTTGAGTCCTGCCTTGCTGGAGGATATAATTCATATCACCACTCTTAGCTTCTTTGAAGGAATGCCTACGAATCTCCTGGGAAGGTTCACCCTCCTCTTGCTCTGGTTTTGTGTTTGACTTATCCTCATCTCATGCCTGAATTTGGGACAGCAGTCGTCATCTGATCTGCTGATCAAGGTTCATCAAACCCCGAGAAAGGTTCCTCCAGACCCACTCACGGACCTGGGACTCACTAGCATGCCAGCCTCCACCACTACATGAGATGATCCCTTGGGTGTTGGCGAGTTCTGTGAGGCACTACAGCGAAATACAGAACCCTAAGATGGGAGAAATTACTGGGAGGAGGAGGAGGAGTTAATATCTGAAATGATAGAGTGGCATGGTAGTTTGGACATCTGGGACATCTTTAATCTCTCTGCCTCATGGAGACCAGCCTTGTGCTGACCTTTCTGAGAGAAACTGTTCAAGCAAGGATGATACATGAATTACTTTTCAGGACACTTTCCTGCCTTACATTTGTAATATTCTTCCCTTGTATGTGTTCTCACATGATATTTTAAAGCAGAAGAAGAATTAAAAGCTTTCCCACATTTCTTACAATCATATGGTTTCTCTCCAGTGTGTGTTCTCATATGTATTGGTAAAGATGAGGGACTCTTAAATGCTTTCCCACACTCCTTACATATATAAGGTTTCTCTCCAGTATGCATTCGCAAGTGTCCTCGAAGGTATGAGAGCTGACTGAAAGCTTTCCCACACTGTTTACATTCATAGGGTTTCTCATCAGTATGGGTACTCATATGTGTTCGTAAAGATAAAGGCCACTTGAATGTTTTCCCACACTGATTGCATTCATAGGGCTTATCGCCAGAGTGTGTTTTCATATGTGCTTCTAAGGACACAGGCCAATTAAATGCTTTCCCACATTGCTTACATTCATATGGTTTTTCTCTGCTATGCACTCTCATATGATTTGATAAAAATGAGGGCCACTGGAAGGCTTTGCCACATTCCTTACATACATAGGGTTTCTCTCCAGTATGCATTCTCATGTGTCCTTGAAGGTATGAGATTTGACTAAAGGCTTTCCCACATTGCTTACATTCAAAGAGTTTCTCTTTACTGTGAGTCCTTTCATGCCTACGAAGGTTTTGGAGGTAACTGAAGGCTTTCCTGCATTGCTTGCATTCATAGGGTTTCTCACCTGAATGTGTTCTCATATGTTCTCGTAAATGTTTAGGACAGTTAAAGGCTTTCTCACATTGCTTACATTCATAGGGTTTCTCTCCAGTGTGTGTGCTCATATGTGTTCGTAATGACATGGCCCAATTGAAGGCTTTCCCACACTGCTTGCATTCATAGGGTTTCTCGCCAGAGTGCATCCTTATATGTGCTCGTAAAGATATGGGCCAATTGAAGGCTTTCCCACATTCCTTACATTCATAGGGTTTCTCTCCAGTGTGCAATCTCGTATGTTTTCGTAAAGATGAGGGCCACTTGAACGCTTTTCCACATTCCTTGCAGTCATAAGGTTTCTTTCCAGTATGCATTCTCACATGTTCTCGAAGATATGAGAGTTGACTGAAGGCTTTCCTGCATTGCTTACATTCATAGGGTTTTTCTCCAGTGTGTGTAGTCATATGTGCCCGCAAGGATAAGGGCCATTTGAAGGCTTTCCCACATTGCTTACATTCATAGGGTTTCTCATCTGAATGCATTCTCATATGTGCTTCTAAGTGTATGGGCCAACTGAAGACTTTCCCACAGTGCTTACATTCATAAAGTTTCTCTCCAGTATGTATACTCATATGTGTTCGTAAGGATAATGGCCATTTGAAAGCTTTCCCACACTGATTGCATTCATAGGGTTTCTCGCCCGAATGCGTTCTCATGTGTGCTCGTAAGTATACAGGCCAACTGAAGGCTTTTCCACATTGCTTACACTCATGGCGTTTCTCTCCAGTATGTGTACTCACATGTATTCGTAAGGATAAGGGCCATTTGAAAGCTTTCCCACATTGATGGCATTCATACGGTTTTTCTCCAGTGTGTACTCTCACATGTCTTTTTAAGGATATGGGCCAACTAAAGACTTTTCCACATTGGTTACATTCATAGGGTTTCTCTCCAGTGTGCCTTCTCACATGTCTTCGTAAAGATATGGGCCAACTGAAAGCTTTCCCACATTGCTTGCATTCATAGGGTTTCTCCTTAGTGTATGCTCTTTCATGAGTTTGAAAGGACTGGCGACAACTGAAGCTTTTCCCACATAATTTACACGCATATGGTTTTACTGCATTATGAGATTGTTCATGCATTTTTTTATCTGATGGACAACTACAAGTCTGCATATATTCTTGATATTGGTACAGCTTGTGTCCAGTGTCACTTGTGATGTGACTCTTAAGTGGTGAACAATGCGTGACAACTTTTCCATACTCACTGCATTCATGTGGGTTGAGCAGAACAGAACTTTCCTTGAAAAGATTAGGATTTAAAATCTGGCTGAAGGTTTCTCCACATTGATTATGCTCATTAGTTTCACAGAGTCTCTCAATCATATGATTTCTGTTAAAATGTAGAGAGGCATGTTATTAATAATGCATTAATGGAATATTAATATTTATGAATTATTATTAGGATTCCATTTTAATCATTTCTATAACATGTAGGTTTTCTGTCCTATCTGAATTATGTGAAGGTAGTCTAAACTGAATGTTCTGTAAGAGGGCTCAAAGACAAGACTGTTTGTGAGTTTCTTGCCAACTGTTTCCAACTGAATTATGTTTCAAACACTCAATATACAACTCACATTTAGTGAAAAATAAGCTGTGAAAATTTCTTGTGAATAAAGATGGAACTATGCATCTGTGGGGTTTTTAGCTGTTTGCTTTTCTAATTTCATGGAATACTTAAGATACTCTCTTGGGAGACTGCATTTTCTTATTTGTGCAACTCACCTCAGAGGTATTGCCTGGTTTTTGTGCTGATCTTCAATGCTAAGGCCTTCCCAAATTTTTCCTAAAATGGAGGCCCAACGATCATTTTTTGTGAACTTTGTTATTTTATGTTCCCTGCATAAATTTCCCCCAGAAATATCCTGCTGAGAAACAGACCCATTGGCCTTAAATGAAGTCTTATCATCTGAAACCAAACAAAGAGAACAAATGTTACAAGAAAGAAGACACCAATTAAGTAAAAGAGGCACTGAAGAGTCTGGCTATTTTAGGATTTCATGAATAAAAACATAAAGTATCATAATGGAAAGCAATTCAATAGACATAATAAAATTATCTTACAGATTCCAAAACAAATATTCTCTAGGACCCAAGATGACCCATGAAACCTATATCCACACTGAGGACACAAAGGAAACTTCAAGTTATTTAATCAAATACAAAGAAAAACTCAGTTTACACAGAGACTCTCATGGTCATAGAAAAACTATTAAAGTATGGCTATGACCATGTCTGTGTTACTGCCTAGTGTAGTACACTTCCACATTCCAAATTTTGGAACAGGCTTGATGAGCAAGAAGTTGCTTATTCTATAAACAACTAAATGCAGGAGTACTGACAGCCTTACCTACTGAGGCCAAGTTTCTGAAGGTTTCCAGCATCACGTCTCTATAGAGCTTCCTCTGAGTAGGATCCAGTAAAGCCCACTCTTCCAGAGTGAAGTCCACAGCCACATCCTCAAAGACCACAGACTCCTAAAACATATGACATATGTGTGCAGGAGGATGGGTGAAACTGGTAGAAGTTGGGAACTGGACTCAATTCACAGGCAGTTCAAACAAGATTCTGGAATCTATCAATATCTACTCTATGACTCAGTCATCAGACTTCTTATTCTGCACTAAGTCACAGATTAAACAGCACCACTAATACATGGAATGTGTCTTTGTGGGTTTTCTGTGAACACACCGTGTTTTTTTTTTTTTTTTTTCATGATGATTTTGGTGAAAGTTTGCAGAGCAAATTGATTTTCCATACAGCAGTTCATACACATTTTGTTTCACAACATTGACTGCAATTCCCCACAATATAACAGCTCTCTTCCCACTTTTGCCCTGTAGTTACCTCTTCTCTGTGTCCCTTCTTCCCATGCACTCCCACCCCATCCCACCCCCCATCAAGCTATCCCTGTGCAAACATTGCCCTTCAGTTCTCCCACAACTGGTTGCTCCAAGAAGTGTATCTACCTGATGTAAATGTTCACCCCATATGCCTGTCTATTGTTTGGCTAGAAGCCACAGGAATAAGGTCAGTTCCAGACATGAAGGATAACAAGGGGCCCTTCTCAGAGGTCTCACCAGGCTCTATCAGACCAGCAAACCTGGTCTTTTTTCATGATTTTGAGTTTTGTTCCACATTGTTCTCCCACTCTATCCAGGATCTCCTGCACCAATCTTCCTCTGAGTGGTTGACCAGTTCTTCTGGTCTCAGTGATATAGGCTGAGGATCTCATGGTGCACCAGTCCATTGGACTAATTGTTTCCATGCATCTTTGTTTTTCTTCATTCTTCTTTGCTCTGGACGAGGAGAGATCCTTCATTACATCTAGATGGCCACATGCAAGCTTTTAAGACCCCAGCTGCTATTCTCCAAACTAGGATGTAGAACAATGGTTTTATGTAGTATGTTATGCCAATTGAACTTGATATTCCCTGTGACCATGGTTCTGAGCCCAAAGGTCCAACTACTTGCTCCCTCAGGGTAGCTGGGTGTGGCCAAGAAGCCATGACAACCTTGCCCCTTGTCAGCTCTACTATACACCCTGACATTCTTACAGCTCATACAAATATGCATGTAGAAAAGTCATCTGCCAACCCTATACATGGTCATAAGCACACTCCCCCCCTGCCGAGACATACCTGATCATTCAGCCTGCTCACCCATCTATCTATCCACCTGTAGATCAATGCTTGCTATCATGACAATGCAGTCTGTACATGCAAAAGGGTTCATCTTTGTTGCCTGTACCTCCCATGTACCTCTCTCTGTCTTCCTCAGTGCTGCTGTGTTGATCACTCACTTTTGGTACACTGCCCTTCCCTTCACCCAAATCACTATTTGTCTATGTTGTTGTTGTTATGTGCCATCTATACACAGACTCAAATCTTATTATTCTCTATGAGAATGATCCAAAGCACACTGGAGAAAGAAGAAAAATACTATACAAGTGTAACAACTATTTTTATTTTAAAGCCATCAAATTCTGCATGACAAAAACTCTTTTGTTTCCTTCCTTACTGCTCATCACATAACTCAGCACTACTATCAAGCTCAGGGCCAAATCTAAATGAAGTTTTAAGTAATGTATTATAGTGCTAAGGTTCTATTCCCCTTACCAAACAAGAAGGACCAAGATGCCTGGGAAAAGCCAACTTGAAACAAGGGCCAGCTAGTAACGATATCTCTAAGAACTATAGGCCTTAAAAATAAAACAGATCAGTCCTACTGGCTGAATGAAACTATTCATTTGTACTAGTATTACTTTAACTTATCTGTTAACAGCTCTGGTGGCGCAGTGCCTAAGGCATTTGACCGCTGACTAGAAGGTTGGAGGTTCAAAGCCACCAGCCATTCCACAGAAGGAAGATGGAGCAATCTACCTCCGTAAAGATTTACCACCTGGGAAATCAAGGGGAGTCTTTATGAGTTGGAATTGACTCAGCGGTGAGTTTGGTTTTTTTGGTTTGTGTGATAGTTATCACAGACTCGGTTTCTATTTTTCTCTCTATGTTACTTCATGGAAATAGAAAGTTATTGAAAAATAGAGCTCAGGAAAGAAAGAAATATCACAGGAAAACAAAACAGAAGAACTTAGAACGCCACACATTCCCTATACCCTCAACCCTCGGTGATCCGGGCTACCAGTATTGAGTTCACATACAAACGCACACACAAAGGGTACAGGTTGCCAAAAGAGCTCTTCCCATCAAAGCCATAAAAAGAACATTGGCTTTACTGACCTTGAAAAAGAGGTTAAGTCTCAACTGGCACGCAGTCAACTGAAAGCTAAAACATCTCACTGTGAATTTGCACGTGACTGTAACACACATAAAGGGCTCAGCAGTGCTTGGCTAAAAAGAATACAGTGTCTCAATTTCCAGAAAGATGTGATCCCCAGAGTCACTCTAGAGGCTGCCCTCCCCACTTCACTTATTCCACGCCCCATTGGCCAAATAAGCATAACAGTCCAATCCCTGCTCATAGGAACCAATGCACTGCATGATCACCCTAAGCCCTAGTCTCTGAAAAATATCAACACACTTACACTCTTGAGTAGGGGACAGAGAAAATGCTGTCACACAACAATGCAGATGTTAAAATTTACCTATTCAGCAGACCAGGAACACCCTTATCGTTGGTACAAAGCGAAAGGAGGTCCCTGGGTCACTCTTAATTCCTTTAGGCACAGCTATCTGTGGGGCTTTCTTATAACAAGGACCAGTATCCAGTGTACAAAAAGAGTTAACACACCAGGCCTAGGACTTTTTGCCCTCACAAAGGTCTGTTAGCAAGGCTGGTCCCTGTCTGGTGTGTAAGAGCATGGACTGAAGGAGGGTTCCATCTAGTATTTGTGATGAGTTGCTCACTGTGCCTAATAGTTCATGCAAACAACATGGTGTGTACTGAATCCCTGATTTCCTTCTGAGTGTCTGGAATTTTGGTAGATGCTAGGGAGAGGGTGCTTATGTGATTACATGCCAACACATACTCCAAGAACTGAGACCCTAATAAGCTTCACCAGGAGAAAACAGTTCACACAACTTAACTGCTGTAGGAATGAAGAGTAACCTGTATGACCCCACTGGGAGAGGACTCTTAAAAACTTGCAGCTCCTGAATTGTACACTTAAATATAGTTAAAACTCCTTGAGTATTATACTCTTCCAAGAGCTATCTATGTGGAATCAAAGTGACAACAGCAACTAGAAAGATTAGATAGGAACCTTAGGGGGCAGTGAGTTCATGGTGATGCCGGAGCAGTAACTCAGAGAAAGGGTGAGCGTGGTTGCAAAACTCAAAGAATGTAATCAATGCAGAGTTGTTCATGTAGAAAAGGCTGAAATTGTGTCTATTTTGCTGTGTATATTCTCAACAAAAAAAAAATAAAATTGAAAAGGAAGAAATTGTTTTTGGTGAAAATGCAATGGATAACAGTTTCATATCTTTGATAAATTCAGAGCTTCACAGTTTAATGCAAAAGAATTGGACTTAATAGAATGTAGGGAAATAAAAGCAGCTACACAATGAGATTCTTTGACCTTTAAATTTCACTCCTTAAAATGTCTGTAGAAATCAAACAGGAATAGAATGGAAAGTCCTCCAAATAATAAAGGTCATCTATGCAAAACCAACAGCCAACATTATTCTCAATGGAAAGAGACTGAAACCATTTCCCCTGCAAACAGGAACCAGATGAGGATGCCCTCTATCACCACTTCTATTAAACATGGTATTGGAAGTCCTAGCCAGGGCAATAAAGCAAGAAAGGGAAATCAAGGGCATCCAAATTGGTTAGAACAACTAAAACCACTGCTATTTGCTTATGATATGATCCTATACCTAGAAAACTCAAGAGACTCAGTAAAAAAAAAAAAAAACCTACTGGGACTAACAGGGGACATCAAGCTCAATTAGCATAACATACTACATAACATACAAAACACTGTTCCACCTCTACTTTGGTGAGTAGCAACTGGGATCTTAAAAGTTTGCAAGCAGCCATCTAGATCCAACAATGGGTCTCTCCTTGCGCAGAGCAGAGAAGAATGAAGAAAACCAAAGATTCATGGAAACAATTAGTCCAAGTGACTGGTACACCATGTGATCCTCACACTATACGACTATGAGACCAGAACTAGATGGTGCCGGGCTACCACTGTCAACCACTTGGAAGGGTATCTATGTAGGAGATCTTGAATAGACAGGGAGGACAATGTGGAACAGAACTCAAAATCATTTGAAAAAAAAAAGGGGAGGAACCAGGTTTGTTGGTCTGATAGAGCCTGGTGAACCACTAAAGACTATGGCCCCTAGCTGCCCTTCAGGTCTGGAATTGAACCCACACCTGCGGCTTCCAGCCATACTAAAGACAGGCATATGAGTTGAACACTTACCTGAGGTAGATATACTCCTTGGAAAGAACCATCATGGGAGAAAGAAGGGCTGTTTATGCACAGGGAGGCAGATCAGGGGGCAGGAGTACATGGAGGGAAGGACACAGGGAAGAGGTAACTATCAGGAGGAAGTGGGTACCCGGGGCAGGCCTCAAGGGGCACACCGAAGGGAAGGCCCCTCCTCTCATGTTGCCTTGGGGTAAATTGTAGTCAATGTCATGAGACAAAGTGCATGTGAACTGTCGTATGGAAAGTGAATTTGCTCTGTAAACTTTCACCCAAATCACAATAAAAAAAAATTTAAAAAAGCTGGACTATATAAAGAAGAACATGGCATCAGATTAGGGAAGACTCACTAACAACCTATGATATGCAGACGATACAATATTGCTTCCTAAAAGTGAAGATGACTTAAAACACTTACTGCTGAAGATTAAAGTCTAGTCTGTAGTATGGATTACACCTCAACATAAAGAAAACCAAAGGCCTTATAACTGGACCGATAAGCAGCATCACAATAATTAGAGAAAAGACTGAAATTGTCAAGGATTTCATTTTATTTAGATCCACAATGAACACCTA